GCAATTTCGATTTCGTTGACAAAGGGAATCAGAGACAAAAGAAGCGAACACTTGGTCTGCAGTCCGCCACACGCGCTCGGTAACCTGGGACCCATCCGCGCCGGGCCTTACCGGGGCGCGCTGACTCGCAGACAATATAGTCATAAACCCTACCGTTGAGAGACTCGAAAAGTCGTCGCGGTCAACTCGCACCGTGACCACGTGAGCGATATTTTGCTGACGTCCGCTTCGCCCTGCAGGAGAGGTTTTCCACCTCCACGTCGCTTGGAAAAACCGAGAAATTTGCCTTCCCCTTCAGGGCATAACCAATAAGGAGGCGAATTTTGGTAACGCCTTCAGCAAACTTTGAGGAAGCGCGACGTCACGCGAATTCGAGACGGCAGTCGAAAACATCCATTCGAAAGACTCATTTCGCACACACTCGATCGACAACAGACATTCGCGAACATTCATTCGACAAACACTCTCGCATTTGACAAGTCGTTCACGAACATACATCCGCATTCGAACACTACGACTGTAAACATCATTCACGTCACATTCTCTGCGAGAAACAAATATTACATCACCAGTTGTAATTTAAGTATTAGTAAAGACTGTTACTAAAACCGAGCTACTCGATCATTCCTGCCACCCTAATTAGACTTCACGAGAACCCTTGTGAAAGTCAACGTCTTGGTTTTACACCGTCGCAAACCAGCGAAGCGGATTTACAACCCGTGAAATATTCAAAGAATTTCGGTGTTTCGGGACGTAACAACAATGGAACAACATATGGTAGAAAACCGGTTTATCCTAGTTGCTACATATTTGAAGAATACAAAAAAAATTTAATGTTTAAATTTTAACAATGTTTCCATAAAATATATATCACTCTATCTACTACTGTACAAATTGGAGGTCTGGACCGTGCAATGTCAATTCGGAATAGGTTCTTCCTTTGAGTATATTTACAAAAAATTTCTATACCGTAGCATTTGGAAAAAGGTTGTAGAAATACATCCGTGATAAATCTCATATACCTACTTTGTAAACTAATTTCGGTAATTATAAATACGTAACTAGCATCAGTTACGGAAAAATTCTGCATTTTAGTCCTTAACCCTTTCGTTACGAGCGCTGGATATAGACGGCATCCACTCGATGGCCTCATATGCACACTTTTCGGCGCGGTGCCCCGTTCAATGGCGTTACTCCGGCGGAGCGAACTGCCGTAACGAAAGGGTTAATCCTTAACGTTTAATTTTTACCAATACAGTAATTACTATTGAGTAGGGGATGATAGAGGTTAAATACCGTGTAGCTTTAATGAAATATTGTAAGCAGAAGTTTCAAGTATCAATTCATAAGTGACGTTTGCAGCCTGAGATTCAGGCCGCTTCTGGGTATTCAGTTTAATTGTATCCATGGGCGTAACCAGGTTATCAGTCGGGAGGAGGGGGGGGGGTGACCCTACCCTGCCCGTCCTGACTACGCCTACGATTGTATCTACAATAAAATATTCTCAAAGTTTCAAAGACATTGGTTTAATAATTTCTGCACAATAAATTTCCAACATTTCGTTTATTTTGAGCTATTTACACCAGGCTCGCCCTATAATTTTACGATGACGCAATATCGTGCCCATCGACTGTACTTACATATCTACGTATAGGAAGCAGACATAAATCTTGACTTCGGCGCCAGCCGCACTTAAGTAGGTATGTATTATAACGCTGCTAATAATTTCAGTAGAAATGAGAAATGAATAAACTTTATATTGAAGACGATACTATTTATTACGTAACAATAAAATTGTATTTCGAATATCATTCATAGAAAACCGTACGAACAACGTTTTAACTATCCTTGTATCATACGCGAAAACACTTGAATAAAATGAATGCAAGAAAAATTCGCAATTTCGACTGTACATACACAGTATACACATTTCATAGTCCTTAATTCAGTTACAACTAAGGATAGAGAAAAAAGCGAAAGTATTCTAATCGGAACTGCTGCAGGTTAAACAGTGTATGTCCATAAAAACCGTCTAAACAGATGGAATAGATCCAGGCTGGAATTGCGTGCAGTTGAATTGTTCGAAGCAGTAACCACAGAACGACAATGATGCCTCGCTTCATTGACCGGGAAGTTAACTGGCGGTAAGTCACGGTCGGGTGTGTAGATCTGTGAAACAAACAACTCTCGACGCTTTCAATTTCCTTAAAAGCCCTTGGATCCAGTCAGACGGGATGGTTTTTATATTTCCCATCCGACGTTCGCTGGTTGGTTTTCTACGCTCCCGTATCTGCTTGTAAATCAAATATTCAGCCCCGCCACAAAATTCAACGAAACACGGACGTCGTACATATAGGATTGCACAGGGTGGTGACGCGTCGGTGTCCTCATGCATCTGGCCTCTTTGATTTTCGTGATCTCTTTGCCGCTCGCGCCAAAATGCTTTTCAAGAGACTGCTGTCCGCCTCTTGTCGTTCGCTATCATATGAACGTGTCCGCCGTAATGCTCTCGCTGGGACAGTCCTCCTGTCTGGTGCATCAAGATACTGAAAAATTTGTACGAGTATTCCCTTTATCGTATCTTTTTTTTTCTCTTACTTAGAGAGTTCAATTAATCGTGCTTCTATGTGAACACTTTCTTTAATGCGTCCACTGTCGGTGTTGGATTTCATTTTTTTTTTTTTTGAAAGGTCCTATAAATTTTAATGGGCTGAAACATGAAATGCTTATATCAATGTAATTGTAATTAAAACATTACTGCATACGCGAAAACATGTAAATAAAGTATGAAACCTTTAAAAGTTAAGGCAGACTAAAAATATAAAATTGGACTCTTATTGAAGTATTTTCCGCTTTGCGTTTATTTTCATATTAGTATAACAAACATTGGACTTTATAAAAAGAGGAATTATAGTATTCTCATCGCATAGATCACACACACACACACACACACACACACAGCATGTGCAAAAATCCTTACTGCAGTCGGGTTATGCAGTATAGCCCGCATTTAACCAAAACACGGCCTACAAAATACAGTATGTAGCAACAATATAAAGGTAAAATGTACCTATAGGAAAAACTTGTTCAGAATGATGACCTTGACAACACATTTCAAGGTCGTTGAAATCGTCGTGGAAGTCAAACTTCTAAATAATTATCTTGGTCTTTAATAATATTCTTATACACAACCATTTTAATTTGTATCTTAAATTTTTATTAAGCTAAAAACCATTTTTATTAATCGCGTGCATAACTTGTACATCCTACTCTACTGTTTTCGTTACCGTAGAGCAGCGCTGGGCAGCGTAGGGGCACCTCACGCGCGTTTCCCCTTCCAACCTTTCTTTCTCCAACCAGACTGCTGTCTCTGTCACTCCATGGTAACGGTGGACGGTGGTGGGGACACGTTTTAGCTCCCGGGAACTAACTTTACGCACCGCTGCCGTAAAGTGTAGAGTGTAGTGTATGTACGAATTGTTTGCTCGTTATTTATTAATCTTTTTCCTGCGAGACATAAAGCATCTTCAGAATTTTTTTTGCAACATTCTTCATGATTAGTTTCCACTTTTCGATTTTCCTACCTGTTGCCTCTGTTGCTCGTATTATGGCTGGCTGGAAAGGTCAATGTTTTAAGAACCGCAGTGTGGTAGGTTTGTCTATGAGATATATGCATACTGTGCAAAGCCTAATGACCTAAGTGGTCATATACATAAACGAATTGTACAGCTATGGCTTAAGACTATTGGACGACAGGAGCGTCACATACGGACTTACGCAGGCAAGCGGAGTACTCCTCTTGCCCCTGTGCCATCTCCCTAATCATCTTGTCAGCTACGCACAATACAAAAGTAACACGAGGGATTTACGTATAGTAGGGCATTAAGGGGTAACGTTACGATGATAGGCCAAATATGACTGGATAACTTTGGCGGTGATTTTAAAGTGGAATACCACTGCTATGGCCTGGGAAATAAGCCTTCTTTAAGAATTTTGTTTTCAGAAATAATTTTGTTTCCGCAGAAATCTATTATCACCTAGTTTTAGTACAATGTTTCAAGGGATTTAAAACACAATTAATAGAAAAACATGCAGAAATTCACCTCACACAAAAACATAGGTCGCTGGTAGGATGTGTAACTTTGGAAGAACAGCTCTGAAATCAAATGTAAACAATTTTTATAAACTATATGAGATTAGTTTCCGTTACACATGCGGATTTAAAAAAAATTAGGTTTGTAAAAATGACGCGCTTTAAAAAGGAAAGTTTCGAAAGTCCGCTAAAAAATGGACAGTGTTTCGAGCGTATATCAACAAATTTACTTTCGATCACAAAAATCCGTGTAATTGAAGGTAATCTTATTTTAAGAATCCTGTCAAACTTTCAAGTCGATTATATAAAAAGTGACAAGAGTAGTCGTACCCGCCAGTTAGAAAAATGTCGTTTCGAGAAAAACGCGTTTGGAGTTTGATTTGAATTCTTGATGTAATCAAAATACATTGCATCTTTGTAAATTCTTCGAATATGAATTTAAATTCTCAAATATTTGTTTTAACGGTTAAACATTAAGAAAATGCATTTTAAAAAAACCGATTGTTTTTAAATTTCACAGTGGTACTCCTCCTTAAAGAAATTTATTAAAAGCTTAACATAGGGTCCGTATGATATGTGAAAAAGAAGAAAATAAGTTTTGAATAGAATATTTGACTAAAAAATAGCGGCACAGTAGCCGCAAGACTTGTAGGTACGTACATATATGTATACATATGTACCTATTCGTGACGTTGGCCCTTAAGAAAGAATACGAATGAAAAGGAAACTGCTACCTAGGTATAAAAAAGACCACCGATAATCGTCCGAGTTGTAAGAGATAGCCAGTTTCTAAGCGAAGCAGCCTGTTTAGTCAAACGGTGGCGGGATGGCGGTGTGGTGGGAAATATGTAACTGGTACTCGAACAAAATAAAGTGTATGTTGAAACGAGGTTGATTTCTGTTCTAGAAGCATCGGAACAGTGGAGGAGGGCTCGGTGACCACGTGCGTCACGGTCGCCGAGATTGCTGATTCCCAGGAACAACAGCAACAGCAATCGAAGAGCAACGGCGGCGCTGTATCTCGCCGTGTTCCTGGTCAGAACGTTGCGTTGAGCAACGGGAACAGTGCCAGCAACGTCGGCCGCGTTACCCCGCGTAACCACATGGAGCAAGAGAAGCGGATGCGGCGAGAAATCGCCAACAGTAACGAACGACGTCGGATGCAGAGTATTAACGCCGGTTTCCAGTCGCTTAGGACGTTGCTGCCGCACCACGAGGGCGAGAAACTTTCCAAGGTAAGTGATCTTTCTCATTTCCTCTTCCCTTTATTATAACTGCTCTCGTCATTTACGGAATCACCTGTACTCGAGTGCGATTAGGGTGACCGTCGTTCAATTATAACTTTCATTAATGGATGTGATTTTTATATAAAACCACTAAAATAAAGGAATTACTACTATACAATAACTCTATACTAACCTTTTCATTATATTACGATAATATGCAATATAATTTGTATTTTATTTCCCACGCAAGTGGGCTAATAAATCATAACGTTAAAACGGTAGGAGATAGAAAAAAATGTTATTAGGAAAAATTAAATGTTTCAAGTAATGCGTAACGCGGTTTATGTGTCTGCTTCAAAAGTGGAGACGTTCCTAAGATTTCAAGGTCACCTCTATATTGGTTTTAAACGGAATTATACATTTTTTTATACACCGTTCGATACATATTTAAAAATTGTTACATAGTTGAAAAGAGTAAATTAGTAGAATTAGTAGACACGAACGAAGACATAGAGAAGAAACGTTCAGGCCTGGTCCAAATATCGTACAATGTTGAGAAACTGAAGTTAACAATATTTTTTAAACTAATCTTTCATCGACACGAGTACCTTAATATTTTTTTCTAGAAATTTAAGAAATGCATCGTACGGAAAATTGCCTGAGGAATATAATTAAGTAGTTAAAACGAATATGACAAGTCCACCTTTTTAAAGAAATGACATTTTACATGTTTCCCGTATCAAATTTTTCACTCTTTTCGACGATAATAACGATTTCGTTCTAAGTCGTTTAGCTTTTACTATAACAGCGTAAAAATGATATTAACCCTTTTAGTGCCAGGCGAAAAAGAGGTGCCTATGCGAGAATAACCGGCCGAATTTCACGGTTTTACTAGGGTTTGGGAAAATGGTCATAAAAACCAAACAAGAAACAATATTTACATGATTCAAAATATTTTAATTTTTTATTTTTTTATTTTTTTTAATTCTCTCGTAATGAAATTAGACCATTTATAACGTATTATAAATTTATTTTGAGATAGAGTTCTCCCGGAATGCGAATAGTAAAGCGCTATAAGTCGCGTGCCGATTTATGTGCTCTGGCACTTCTCGCCAGTGCAGCAAGAGCCGATATATCGGCCTCCGGCACTAAAAGGGTTAAGTCCATATCTTGTTCCAAGTGAAACGATGCAAAGTCTATCACGTAGCCGACTTGCAATATTTACCATTTCTACATATCGAGACTTGTCTGAAATCCATTCAATAGTTCGAAGGTACCGATTGTTTCTCGTTAAATTCTTACCGAATGGCTCCTAAGCTACAAGGTTTTTGAACCATTGATTTGCTCTCCTCTAAATTTTGAAAAGTGTGACTTAATATGTAAATTCTAGATATTAATACATATAAAGATAGTAGATACAGAACTATACAAGAGATAATAAAACCAATGTGTCCGTGTGCGTGTGCGTGTGTGTGTGTGTCAGCAAAATTTTTGGAAGATCATTTATTTTTAATTAATTATTTAGTTGCATTTTATGGTGAATGTTGTGTGGTGACCCTTATTCTCACTCGTGTCTCAGATTTGAACGTCCGCGAATAAACTTCTTTTCTGGCATGAAATGTACAAAGTATCTCCACCAAGTTTGTAATATGGAACTCTATGATGTATGACGAGCCAATGGGAACATATTCAGGGTTTTCTATAATGTAGACCAAGGCGAAATCAGAATTAGTCTTTTCTGAAATCGATGAAATTCGATCGAAACCGAGTGAGTGTACGTAGTACATAGTTTTAGTCGCTTGTTTACGGTAAACTACGCATCCGTAACGCTTCCTCCAATATGTTACCTGTGCTGGAGGAAGAATTAATCCCCAGCTTGAGTATTATTCTATTATTCGCTTCCGCTATCCACGTTACTCGATAGACTCTTCAAATTTTAAACTATCTGTTGACGGTCATTACTGAATCATCATATTTTAAACCTACCTGTGATACTTCCTTATTTTCATACATCACGTTTGCCTTTCGATTACGTAGAATAAATGGTAAAATATATTCACAGATTTAAGTTTAGACTGATAATTACTCACAATAAAATGAATACTTTAATGAAAGGTTAACTACAATATAAAATATTTGAATGGAAATTGATTATAACAGCGAATATCTTGAGTTTTTTCGCAAGAACACATTTTCTAATGAAAATAACATAACAGAAGAAACATAACAATTGATACGAGTGTTGAATCTCTAATAAGAAGGCCACATTGTAGAAAGAGTAAATTTGAAGGGTGGATCGATTCATCGGAATGTAGTCGACATCCAATTAATTGCGCCATTTGCACGTACAAAGAGGGAAAGGTGTTCGTTACAATTCGTTTACACTTTCTTATTTGATTCTCTTTAGTGAAATTTGATTTATAAATCGGAACTGTTTGCAACATCTTTTTCTCTATTATATCGATTACTCTGAAATTTCTGAAGTTTAAGACTTGGAGAATCGACGCAAGAAGTGCTGTGCGTACAAAAAATGATTCTTATGCCGCACTTTTGCAATTGATATTAGCAATGATAAGAAGTGTATTATCACTGGCGCAGTGTATATCCTGTGTATATCAATAGTATCACTTCACATCCAGCGCACTTACCTCTTCATTCACCATTCTTCGTCCATGCGATTTTCAGTTTTAAGGAATGAATGTTACGTTTTGATAAATTGTCTACATCATTGTACATGGATCAATGAAACCTTGTTGCAAATTATTATTGGTTACAAGAATCTCCATACATTTTACTTTTCCTTTCATATTTCAGTTTTATTATAAATAGTTCGGTATAATATGTCTATTTATGTATTTATTTAATCGGACGAATTCATTGAGGAAGTAGTTGTTCAAAGAAAATACATTCAGAAGTAAATAGTGATATAAAAATAGGGGTATGGAATATCTCCAATTAATGAACTGAAGAAACAATATTAATCCTTTGCACTCCGATGTCGTCGCTGCGGCGAAATCTAGAAGCAACTTTGTATTTTTATACATTTAAAATTTAAAATATTCTTCCCTTTTTCATGGGGGCTTCTACTGTTACATTGCATGTATAATTGTGTATGAAAATGAAATAGTCCTGGAGTTGCTGGTAGGTCATATTAAAAATGACTCGGAGTTGTTGGTAGGTCATATTAAAAATTGTTCGGAGTGCAAAGGGTTAAAAAATGCTACAAAACTGAACAATTGACGTATATAGATTTTTTAAAAAAAAAAAAAAAAAAAAAAAAAAAAAAAAAAAAACACTTTGTCCATTGACGGAGTTTAACTCCACAATACGGCGTGAGAACATTCTTTCCATACTAAAGAGGGTTAATAATTTTATATGCAGATTGTTAAGAATAATCGGCTCACATAAGACAGTGGCATCGACGCATTCGAAGAAGAACACAAATTATTCAAAAGTGAAGCTTAACAACCATTAAAAATAAGTCGGCTGAATATATGTTGTAAGCTGTATTAATTTCTAGCACTACCCTGTTAACCGAAAAATGGCTCAATATCATACGAAATGTTTCTATACCAGTTTCTTGTACGTTAAGTTCAGATTAAATCTGTAAATACACTGAATTTTTGAAGCTTTCCTTGGATAAGTAGAGTGATGGCGAATTCATGAATTTTTATTCAAGTTGACTTGTACAGATCGCGGCTAGATCAATCAAAACCAGCCACCGTTAGCAATTCGTGGCCATACGTTTAAGGCGCTTACAGTCACGTCAGTGACCGACGATGGGTCCTTAACAGGATGTAGCTCCTACTAAGGTTAACACGTGGACCGGAAACGGTAACCTGTTTCACTCGGCTACGATGAATTCACGAATGAAGCTCGTTCGTTCTCGCACGAATATACCAGAATATGTCTCTTACACAACACCGACGTCGCGATGGTGGCGGTGTTGGCGGCGGTGGCGGGTTTTACGAATTGTCGCGCGGCAGTTTGAGACTAATTGTAGCATGTGAAAGCCGCTGCCCGATCCCACGCCGTTGAACTACATAGATTTGCGCGATCGCCGTCTATATGCGGCATACAGTATGCGTAGTCGTGTCGGGGTGCTTTAATCGTTTCCTCCAGTACCCATAGCCTAACCGTGTGACACTGACCGCTTTAGATTCTCCTTACATGTATAGTCTGCTCCTCTGACCTCGCAAATGTCAGCTGATTGCTGTTATTACTTCATTGAAGTCGTACGGTGAATATCTCGGCGAGCCCATTTTTCTCTATACAATGCTGTGCCGGAGCTCCTAACAGTTTTAAAAGTGAAACATTCATTGAGAACATAACACACGTACACACACGTGCGCTCACGTAAACCGGAGAGAAAACTATTGTACAGTTTATTTAGTCCGGGGTAAAATTTGCGAAAATCTGCTCGTGCGCGAATAAAGAAATTGGAAGAGAGGACAAGACCATGTGCACCACCAGTCCCGTCCAAGAAAGAATGTGCGAGCTCTTGCAGCCTCCGCAGCGTGATACTCTGTTGTCATAGGAAACACGACACCAGAGTTCCGTTCTCTGTCCCACGAAGCGTAGGACAGATATCGTGTGGGGGCTATCGTTCTCCCTCTCCCTCTGGTACAAGTGGTGGGCGATTACGTGTCGTGTGAGTCGGTGTGAGGCCCTCCCAATGGACAGGTCTGATGTACCTGATTTACGTACGTGATGATATATTTTAACCATATACATATTCAACTGCATGTCCCGCCATTTAACGGAGCTACTCTATGCTCTGCCTATAAGCGTGATTTGTTATACGATTTTAGAACATACTCCTATCTTCTTCTTGTTTCTGATGACCGACGGCGAACAGCCTTTTCCTGAGATACAACCGAATTTGCAGTTCCATCATATTCACATCTTGCCGTCTCTCGTACTGTGTTACATATTCGTACACGTTATCTATATTTCTCACTATCAACATCAACGTGATTAGCGCGAATTGCCAGCCAATAAAGTTTCTC